GGAATTCTTCTAACTAAGTCTATCAATTCAAATCAAAAGAAAACCCTTTCTTTTAGGGTTCATTAATAAAATCAAAGTGAATTTTTTCAACTTAATATTCTTTTAATGAGGTACAATATATCTATATAGATCTAGATAGATATATGGTATCCTCAATTCAGTTAGATCCAAATTAAAATGAGGTATAAAATAGGGTATGTGTCCATATTGGTTTTCATCTAACCTGCTACCATCTACCCTGCTACAGGGTAGATAGTACTACTATCAATTAAATTTCCACCAATTTAAATTCAATGGTAAATACATATGGATCCTTAACATACTGAAACGACTCCCATTATTAGTATAAAACCAATAACGATTCATACAAGCTAAATCTTCCAATCGATAATTAGGCCAAAGAAAAAATTCAATTAATTTATTTTGATCCTTAGGCCCAGGGTTGCTTTCTTCCCAAACTTTATTTTTGTTGGAAACTAGAGAATTTGCATCCACGCCATTCCATTTGTGTGAATTGAAACAAATTAGAGTTCTTAATTCTCTACGACGCCTAGATGATAAAATATTTTCAATAAGAAGCGGATCACAATTATTGTTCTCTCGAGCGCGAATTATTCTTTGTTTTACGTCTTCTTTATTAAGAATTTGTTTACTCTTATGAACCAACGAAATAACTATCGTTTCATACATAAGAAATTCTCCATTTGGTTTGATAGACAGCGGAAGGGGGTCGACCAAAAATCCCGTCTTTTTTAAAAATTCTGGAACACTCTCTTTTGAATCTGGAACACTCTCTTTTGAATCTGGAACATTTCTTTTTGAATCTGGAACACTCTCTTTCTGATCCATCTGTGGCATTAGACCCAAATTTAACTTTTCCCTTAGAATCCATGATAGCATCATTTTTTTTCGATTTATCATTCTAAGCAAGAGACAATAGATTTGGAGATCTTGGAAAAGGCCTTGATTTAAAGTAAAATCCTCTCTAAATTGAAAAAATAAATAGTTTTTCATGAATAACTCTAGTTCTATCTCAGTTTGACTTTTCTTTTCACCTTCAGTTTCACCTTCAGTTTCGCCTTTGGTTTCACCTTCAGGTTTACCTTTGGTTTCACCTTCAGGTTTACCTTTGGTTTCACCTTCAGGTTTACCTTTGGTTTCACCCTGAGTTTCACCTTTGGTTTGACCCTCAGGTTCACTTTTGGTTTGACCCTCGGCTTTATCTTTTTTTTTACTCTCAGTTTTATCTTTTTTATCTTTCTGAGTTTTACCGGTCTTTTGACTTGTCATTTCATTAAGATTCAAATTTGAAATAAGTGATTCGCTTGGTATAATCCATGGTTTCAGTTTATATAAATTAACAAACCACACAAATTCTGGGAAAACCAAAAGTTCCTCAGCCGTTAATGGACGGTCGAGTATTTCTTCATTCAGTCCCATCCAATCCAATAAAGAATTTCTAGAATGGAGTCGATTCATTTCGGTATTTTTCTGAATCAAAAGAGCAAAAGGATCTTTTTCGTTTTTAAAAATTTGCTCAATTTTCAAAATTTCTTCCATTTTATCAATTAATTGATAATTGTAAGTGAAAATTGGAGTATTTTGAGTATTGTTATAATTACCCGTGATCCAGGACTCAATATTCGCTTTTTTTTTAAGAGAAAAATCAATATTTTTCCAATTCAAATATTTTCTATCGACATCTTTTTTTGGATATGGAATATTTAACCTTTCTATTTTTCCTCTGAAACTAGTGATAGGAATATTTTTCGTTATCGCAAACAAGTTGTTTTGTGACATCTTGTAATGATAAGAAATTGCTTCCCGTTTAGCTCCTGGAGGGGTTCCACTATTTTTTTCATACTGAATGTATTGATATGCTAAAAGATCATATCGATAGCATTTTTTTAAATTATCTTTTGTTTTTTTATTCAAGACTGAGTTAGCATCCTTTTGTTTCCTGTAAGTATTTAATTTTAATTTTTTACCGGAAGTCCTTTTGTCTAAATATTTTTGTTTAGACCTACGATAGCGATTCGCCCTATTTCTCCATTTTTGTTTTTGTGATCTTAAGGCAGACCAGAAATTAGGAGATAAATCGTAGTGAGAATTCCCTTTTAACCAAAATTTCCATTGACTCGTTCTAGGCCGCTTAAGTTGTTTTTTTATTCCTTCAGATGGAAGTATTCCTTGTGTATGAAATGAGTCTTTTATTTTCTTTTTAATCAAGAAAGATGTTCCATTTTGTTGAAGAACAGATATGAAATTACGTACGTTCAAAAAACCCCTTTCTGATATTTTGTACAATACATATGCTTGTGACAAGTTGGATAAATCACCAAAACTCTCTGAATTTTCCTTATAAAGCTTATTATTATGCGTTTTTATATTTGAATTTGAAAGAGAGTTCATTTTTGTTGATTCCACAAAGACTTTTTGAGTCATTTGGCAAATAGATATAGTATATAAAAAAATACAATTAGATATTCTTTGAATAAATAATTTTATAAAATAATTAAATTTATATATTAATCTATTTTTTTTTTTTTTCAACATTTGACAAAAATTTTTTGACAAGGCTAATCTCGAACTTTTTTTGTAAGGGTTCATATCAAGTTCTAGAGTGACCCTTTTCTTATCTTCCGTAATTCTTTCTAGTTTTTTTTTAATTGTACTTGTCCTATGAGTGATAGCCTGCATTTTGTCTATCGGTGAATAATTTTTCCAATCTGTAATTTTTTCAATTTTACTCAAGGGTTGATTCATTATCTGGTTATTTATTAGATCATCTTTTTCATTTTTTATTACACTCGGGTGTATTGTTCTTGTTTCTTTTGAACTTGTGTTTTTTTTTGAAAACTTTTTTAAAAATTTAATTTTTACTTTTACAAATTTGTAAAGTTCCTTAAAAACAGGCTTAAAAAACGAAGGTTTTTGTCGTGGATGACCAAAAGGGTGTTCTGTTTCCCTTCCCCAAACTGTTAAAAAACAAAAGTCATCACGAGAATTTAGCGATTTATATTCGTGCCAAGGTTTGAGACAGAAAGGAAATAAAATTTTGATTTGAATACCTTCTGTCAACCAATTTTCCGGAAATTTTTTGTCAGCTAACGGAATACCATTATAAGTACACTTCACATGCGTTTCTCTATTCCATCCCTTTAAATCTTCAGACCATTCAGGAGTTTGAAATAGTAGCATACGCCCGATATTTTTACCGATTATGAATGAAGGTAATAGAATCTTTTTTCTGAGAATTGATTGGGTTATTAATAAAAAACCTCTTATTATTTGGGTATATGGAAAAGTCTCCCAGGCTTCCCCTATCTCTAACCGTTCTATTTCCTCTCGTCGTTTTTTTTCCTTTTTGGTTTCTCTTTTTATTATTATTTTTTTTTCCTCTGTAGATTCTAAAATCCCAAACTCTTTTATGGATGACCATTTTCTAAAAAGCCGTTTCAGTTGAGCCAGGTATGGTAGAGAAAAAAAGGTTTTTTTCCTCATCCTGTCAAAAAAAAGAGGGGAATGCGCATTTGCTTTAAAAAGTCCCTCAATAACTATTTTACGTCTTTGAGTTCGCATAGAGTCTTTTATTAAGCCTTGGCGAAAATCAGATTGGTGCGGATATCGTAATAAAAAAAGCTTATTATCCTCATCTTCCTTTTTCTTTTTAATATTTTTATCTTTCTCATTATCGTCGGATTTTATAGCTTGAATATTTGTATCTTTTGTATTCTTATCTTTGTTTGTAGTCTTATCTTTGAGAGTCTTAGGTTCTTCAAAAATTAATACACTGATCCCTTTTCTTGAACGAATATCATGATCATCTGGTGGATTTGTAAAATACGATATTTGTTCCAATTCAGTTATTAATTTGTATGACCATCGGGGGACTTTTTTACCAATTTCTTCTTTACCTATTTTTTCTATTGCAGAAGATTTTTTATCGTCTGTCTCAATTGCATTTACTAAAAATTTTGTTAGTTGTTCTGAATCCGTTAAATTGAAACTTGATGATAAAGTTGAGAACTCACCAACTTGTAATGGTTTTTTTTTCCTTTTTTTCAAAAGTAGACATCAACAATAAAGCATGAAGTCTATTTAGCATAACCTTCTCTCTCAACTTTTTGATCGAAGTATCGTTTATCGACGTGATATCTTTTTTTATTCTTCCGCGGGAAGGCCCATTTAACAAGGGATCATACTTTTCTGGTAAGTATTCTTTTCTAGTCTCATCATTGTGTATACATAATCGCGTTTTGTTTGTTTCAATTTCGATTATTGGAACTGCTACTGGTTTGTCAAGATTTTTAATTCGATTTAGCAAATCAATTTTTATAGAATTTAATTTTTGTTTGTTTCTAGAAACCCAAAAATTGTCCAATGTATTAGAAATATCTTTTTCTAGTGACAAAAGGGGTATCTTTGTTTTGATTATTTGAAAAAACGTTGATAAACTTATCGGATGGGTAAAAGATATTCTATCTTTTCCATCACTTTTATGTATGTCAAAGAAATATTGTGCCATTTCGTTTCTTACAGCTTGTTCAAGTCTATTATTTTTTATGTAACGAAATGGGCGAGTCCATCTTTTATAATCAAAAAGAAGAGCCACAATATGTTCTTTATTTTCATTTTTTTCAAGGATTTCCAATTCGGAATCAGACCCTTCCAAGTCTGGTTCATTTACCTTCAAGTCCAATTCTTTTTCCAAAATACCTTTTTCTTCGGAAAAAAGGGAAGGATCTTTTTCAGCGGATTTCTTTTTTTTTTCTACGTCTTTTTCTTCCTCCCTTTGCAACCTTTCCTTTTCCCTTTGTTCTATTTTTGAGACCTCACTAAATTTCTGAGTAGGAATAGGTAAGGGTGTTCTGCCTAAAGACTGAATACTTAGAATACATACTAGAGTTCCAAAACTATAATTTACTAAAATAAAAAATATAGAATTTCTCACTAGGTACTTTCGAATGATCGACCTAATAACATTATTTTTCTGTATCCAGACTGCTAAAAATTCCAAGCAATTTATGACTAAAATTTGTCCCATTCCCCAAGCAAACAAACTGCTTGTTACAAACAACATCTTATTATTACAGCGAAACAGATAAATGCTTACTAATCGGGCTAACGTTGAACTTGGTAAAATGCAAGTGTTAAGCAACTGAAAAATAAGATGATTGAGGAATACAAAGATATTCTCTAGCTCACGGATCGAATTTTGGTTATTAGATCCATAAGCAAAAATTTTTTTTTCAGTGTTCAAGAAAAGCTGAATCAAAAGATAAGGTAAAGCAAGGACAGTTATTGTATGAGGTCTACCCAAAGCTAGATAAAAGGGCGCATAATAGATGGATACGAATCTCATGAGCTGTCCCATAATAAAACCAGTGGTTGCTGCTACCTTATTATTTGTATTTGTTTCT